CTATGTTCTTGGCTGCCACAATTCATCAACACTGTGGGTACTCTGAAAGTAACTTAAGACAAATTGTTATTATTTTCTTCAATTTTGTAAGTTGAGTGTTTTTAATATTTTCGTTTTTTCTTTGGTTTAAAGTGTAATACATTCTTTTAGAAAACCTTCAGTCTTTTTAATGGAACACTGAGAAATTTGGAAGAGTGAATCTACCTGTTCATCTCTCCATTGTTACATAATAAATGTCTTTTCTTTGTTCCTCCTTCAAAACTTGCTGTACTTGCAGATGTAAGGATTAGAGCTAATTACAGACAGACAGTTGCCCCTGTCTCCTGCTAGAGAATGCTTATTTGTTATTAGAGAAACATGGCAGACCAAGAGAAGCTGTCATAAAAGCATCCCTGTCTCCCTGTAGTAAAAGGAGGGAGTCTGAGAAGTTCGTTCTGTGAGGACAAGGCTGTGATTTCCTAAGATGATCCAGCTCAAGCAAACCACCACCCTTAAGGAAAAATCCCTTCTGTATTTTCTGACTTCTTCCACTCATAACTATGTACATTGCTGCTCACTTTGTGGTACCTCTGATGCTTTTCAGACTTCTACATGAACCATTTCAGATTGTGAACTAGGCAGGAAAAATTCTTCAGTGAGTTGAGCAGCTCATTGAAGGGTCCGAAGCCATCATAAGGGGCAGAGTTTTACAGTAGAAAGCAAAAGGGAGACTTTCCCTGCTTGGTGGCAGCTAGAAAGCAGGTAAGATCAGCTCTTTTTGAAGCTGCAGCTTATAGGAAGAGTTGTGCAACAGTGGGAAAACCGAATCTCAGATAACAGAAAATTGAAACAAAATGTCCTTCGAAGCTGTCAAGAAACAGTCTTCAAATGAGTGGTATGATAGAAATTATGCAAGTGCTGTCGTAAGTTCTAAAATATAATGAAAACACTTGCAAACTGAGAGGGTTTCTTGCCAGAGATTTCGTGCTTGTTTTAATGGAGAACATTTTGGTGAAAAGAGTGTGGTTTGTCTTTCAGAAAAGTGATACTAAATATGATTTTAGGACCCAAATTTAGTTACCTTTTTTTTTTATGGATTTCTGTAGATCTCTGCATTTGGATTATTGCGTCAGTGCTTCCAAAACTGGAAGATATTTTATTGGTTAGATAAAAAATTGGTCTTGGCCATAAAATGGTGTGGACTGCTTTTGGAGACTTTGAAGAATGGTAGCTGGTGACGAATCCTGGTAATAGATTTCACTTTGTAGGATTCAGTGGAAAATATACTAGATAAATATAGTCAAAAGTGAGGTAACTCTTCAAATATCTTCTCTCTTAGGCTTTATTCACACAGAGATGACTGCTCATTTGGAAGAAGATCAGTTGAAGAAAGCAATTCTCCTTGGAAGATTTGGAGAGCCTCATGAAGTTGCACAAGCTGTTGTCTTTCTTCTAGAATCCCCATATGTTACAGGGAGTGTTCTAGTTGTAGATGGAGGCTTGCAGCTTATGACTTAAGTACTACTTTGAATAAATGCCTACTTTAATGTCATGATGGTAATATATAAATATATACCAATTAAAGGGAGAGGGTTGGAAATTGTTTGAAGATTGATGTATGTAATTGACTTCATCTTATCTAGTCAGAGGAGAAATTCAGCAGCAGAGAAGTGCAATGTGTACATTTAGCTACGTGGAAGAGTCCATTTGGTATTATGAAGTCTGTGTATGAAACAATTTGAAAAAGATCTGCTTTTGATATGGTGATAACTTTAATAACATACTGATATGTTTTTAAAACACTTTTTTTATAAAGTCTTGGTATCTAATTTGGGATAGAGTGGAGCTTTTATTGGAATTATCATGTTACACAGAGGTTAATAAAGTGCAGAAGTATGTTTATTGGGTGGCAGGTATGATTACATCAAGTTTTTCATGTAGGGCAAAGATTGCAAACTGCATAGTTTTGCATTCTTATCAGTTAGTCCCTACAAAGTAGCGAGGGGTTTCCTTCAGGCTTTGTTTGTTTGTAGCTAACACTACAAAGCTAGGAGCCTCTAGATCTTCAACATACCTGAGTTGCCTTTAGGAGATTTAATTATATGCAGTGTGTTTTTGTGAAGACGAAACCTACTCGGTTCCATTCTTGGATGTATGTGCAGCATTCATTTAATACAGTAGCACTTGTGTGTACACATTGAAGGACTGTTGATTGGTCATTGGAGTTGCTAATCCTGTGATATTCTGAGTTTGAGCTGCACAGACCTTTTTGCATAAAAGACTTTTCAATGACTCAGTAGGTGTTTAGGAAACACGATCACTTCCAGAGCATGAAGTCAGTACTTTGCTCTGTATCTTGAACACTCAGCGCAGCTGTTAAGTCAATGCTCCTTAATATGTATATATAGTCAATAAAATCACCATTTATTTTATTCAAAACAACTTCTGAAGCAGAGTAATTATTCAGCTTTAAATGATCCTGAGTGTTCCTGTCTTGCTGAAAACTTACCAGATGTTTGACCTTGGGCTTTTCTGTTGAGATCAAGTAATTTTTGATAATGGATGTTTTTATTATCTCTGAAGAAAACTATGACTGTGGTTTAGGACCTTCACTTCTTAGCTCCAGTGTTCATTGCATCATGATCCAGATGTAGATTCAACTTTTGAAATTACTTCCCTTCTTGGCAAAAACTAAAGTACAGAAAAAAGAGATCTCGTTGATGATAACTTTGAGTCTTTAAAGTTGGAGATTTTCTTCATTTGTGCAGCTGAGAAATTTTGTCTTTGTGCCAGAAAACAGTGCATGTTCAAGCTTCTTGCAGGTATGTATTGAGAAATAAAACAAGGGATGGTTTTGTGTTCAGGAAATTTTACAGTTAGTTGTTGTGAGGATAGAATACCCTTTCTGCCCAGAATATTTTATTACGAGGAGACAGTTTTCACTTAAGAAGGCTTTCTGCCTAAAAGGTAACTCTCAAAGGCAGCTTCAATGCTTTCCCCCCTGCCACCCCTCATAGTGAGAGAAGTTCTCAGCCTCTCTCTCTGATATGTGAGAGGAGAGAGAGAACCCTAACAGACATGCACAGAGGCCTTTGGAAGGCAGGGGAGAGACAGAGAGGATAAGGAGGTCCTGAGAGGGCCTTTGTTAAAAAGTGGTCCTTGCATCTGAAATAAACCTTTTTTTAACCCTTCCACTGCCTTGGCATTTTTGGAAAGAATACCTACTTATGCTTTACCTTACAGTTGTGTACTCACTCTGGAATATATAACATCACTAAAAGTAATCCTTTTAGGAGTCCTTCCTGTTATCCCTTTGTAGAGGTGGTGTTATTTGCTGTGAAAAGTTATGTGTTGTATGTGTCTTTGCCCCAACAATATAATTGCTAATTAGGTTTCTCTTTGATAGAAGGAATTGGCCGGAGAATTTTTTCCAAGGGCACTGAAGGTGAGGAAAGACAACTGGTGCTTTTTTACTAGTCAAGTAGTAATATGTCAGTGACTTGGCTGCTGCCCATACCCGTTCTTGGTATTTTATAGATGAAGCCTGTGTGACATATCTTGACCAAAAGCCAAACTTAAGAGACTAGAAATAATTCCCTATTAGTGAGTTCTGACCCTAATTATTATTATCCCTTTTTTCTGCTGGGTAAGATAGCTGTTAAATAAGTTATTAGCAATGACACATTTAGTTTACATTAGTGATTAAAACCTGGAATAACACTGTCAGAAGAATCTCAGCATGTCACTAAGTAATTTTTTTAAAATGTTACAGTGCATACTATGTTTTTATTATTGCAGTTGCCATAGGACCAGACTGAAGTGTTGGTAGCCTTAGATCATATTTTTTATAGATTTTTTTTCCCTTTTCTTCTAACTGATAAATTAGAACTGAAAACAGTAATCCTGGTTCTGTTTAGCCTGATGTGATGTCTCAGATGGTGGAAGTAGGGAATGTGTAGGGTAGGTAGTAGGTTGGGTGTATGTCTCCTTAGAAGACTCTTGTACCACCAGCAATTTGTGATTGATATGTTTGAACTGACCATTTGGTAGCTCTGGTTGAGGCCTGCAGACATTAAAACAACCCTCTTGTGCACTCTCTATGTTGCTTTTGAATTTGTGGACTTCTGTCTTATCCTGCCTGCCTCAGTTGTTTCTATTTCATACTGAAGAGTCATATTTCTTTTAATTGCTTGTTGCTGGTAAGCTCTTTTGTACCTTACTGTCTTTTTTGAGCTTTGCTTTACTTTTTCAGTTTCTCAGGGGGGAGCAACAGGTAGAACTGCCCGCAGTATTCACTGTGGATTTTTTCTTAAAAAAAAGTGTTTCATGTTTTGTTTTATCTTGCTTCCAGAAATAATGCCTAATTGTTTTACTTTTTTCTAACCTTTGCACTTATGTTTTCAGAACAATAACTCAATCCTGAATAATTAATGAACAACTTAGGAGTCCATTTCCATATGTGTGTGTATATATATATGTATGTGTCTGATTTTTTGTATTTTTCCCAGCATGAATTGTTCTCAGATATTTACAAGTTTAGTCTGTTGGTTTTAACACCTATTTCCTCAGTGAAATGGTTCTGCAGTTTTTTAATTCCTTAATCCCTTTGTTACTTTGAGTAATTTAGTGTTAGTGGAATACACTGTGGGCTTCAGAAACAGCTGTCTCAGAACCCTTAGGAATAGGTTGTACTTTGCCTGCCCCGACTGTGTACTTGTGGTGTTCTTTTGGCAGTCTGTGTCCTTAGGAAAGAACAACTGCTGATTCATACCCTTTCTTTTCTATCTGTAAACAATGTACTGATATGACAACTTCTTTAATAGTTTTTGGCAAGGGCATGTGTCAGATGCCTTTTAGAATTTCAAGCATGCAGTATTATTAGATCTCCATACTCTCATCTAAGTCTTTAGGAGAACTCTAAAATGTTTATCAAACATGGCTTTCCTTTGCAAACGCAACTATGGGGTTGTGTTTTTTTTGGTTTTTGATTTTTTTTCATTTAAGAATAAAGTAATTTACAGATTCCCACTACTCCACATTTCTGCAGATTCTCTTCCTACAACTGTTTTTTCAGGCATGCATTGAAGCTTTACCATCTAACTTTGGGAGCATTTTAAAGAAGGCTGCAGTCCAGGTCTGGTCTTTAACTTTCAGACTATATTTTATTCCAGACTTTTTCTCCTGTCCCATCCCATATCACTGGTCCCTACGTGGCCTTTCACCCCCTCCATGAATTTCTAGAGAGACCATCAAGGCATGGTACTTTTGAGGGTGGATACTTTTACAGCTCTCATTTACTTCATCATGCGGTCCTGTTATACAACAACCCCCTTTCTGACTCACCCATAATTGTTGCTTTGGGTTTTTAACTCAGATGGGTTCCTGCTTCAGAGAGGATATCCTTGCTAAAAGAAGGTTGTGTATTGCATTATTTACTAATTTATGTGACCTGCCTTGTCACTGCCAAGTTAGGAAACCAAACCTGTTCTGTTGCCTTGGTGTTCAATTCAGTTTAAATATTACAGGTAGTGTGATTTGCATGTTCTAGTATTTAGTTGAAGCGCATCGTAGACCTAGAAAGTTAATTGTTTTGTATGTCTTCTCTGCATTTTTCCAATGTTTGGGAAGATGATGGACTACTTTTGTCCATCTTTTCTCCTAGGTAGGTCACTGGAGCCTTACTTTTGCTTATCTCTAAAGAGATATGTTTGTAACTTATAACTTGTTGTAGGGAACTCACTGTCTAACACAAACAGTCTTTTCTTGCCCTTGAGGCATGTGTCACAATTGATGGGCTGGATGGGGCTCTGAGCAACCTGGTCTGGTGGGAGGTATCCCTGCCCATGGCAGGTGGATTGGAACTAGGTGATCTTTAGGATTCCTTCCAACTCAAAACATCTGTGATTCTATATGATTGTTCTCAGTAAAAGTTTCTAGCAGGACACAATAAATGTTCAGGAGTGGGTTGGGATTTTTTTTTGTTTTGGTTTTTGTTTGTTTTTGGTTTTTGTTTGTTTGTTTGTTTTTGTTTTTTAAATACCGCAGCTGTAAGGAAGATCTGTTGGGGGGAACAGCTTTTCCAGACTTTATGGTAACAGAAGTATGTTGGCTGAGTTAGTGTGCGCTAAGTTAGTGTTGTATCCCACAAAGAGATTTCATCGCGGCCTCCTGAGGGCACTCTATCCTAAGGCATTACTGTATTGGTAATGACTTGGTAGGTAAATCTGTATGAATATAGGGAAATGTGGTTGCCTGTGTAAATGCAAACTGGATGGCTGGCATTGCTGTTACTAGTTTTGTAAAATCCAATTCCCTATACCCTGAGTTGTTTGGGGATTTAAGGCATGATTTTTAAAGATGGAAATGATTTCAATATTGAGATCAGAGAAATCTGGATAGAAAGTGGATACCTAAATACCAGGATTCAAAATCTCTTTGTTACATTATTATCCATGGTTAAAACATACATTGCAATTATTATTTATTGCTGTGAGACAAATTTTCCTACTTTGATGTGTTGCATAGTATGAGAGGTTGCACTGCATGGCACTGGAATGTATGTTTTCTGTTGCAATTATGTAACCTTTTTTTTCCTGGAAGCATAATGTAGTTCATTTAAGTAAAGCTAATGAAAACTACTCTTCAAGACCAGGTGCACCCACCTAATTCAGTTAATCAGTGTTTGAAAAGATGGGACAAATGTAGTAGTGGAGAGAAGTCATCGTGTGTGCTTAATGCCTGAAGAAGTAAGAACTCTGCTGAAGCCCCAAATTACATTTGATTTTCATGCACATGTTCAATTTCAGATCACATGCTGAAGGCTCTTTTGCTGTCGATATGTCTGTTAAGTTAGTAACAAATACTACCTGTACCTTGACAGACATCTTTAGATCAGCATGACTAGTATTTTATGTTTTCATTTTTCATATTAATAGCTCATCTCTGTTAAGATCTGGGATTTTTTTTTTTTTTTGTTATATTGTATATAACCAAATTGCCAATTTGGTTATAATGATGTCAAACACCTCGAGACACTGTCAAAGCAAAAGCCACCAATGGTATCATTACACACACATTGGGGCAGTGTCAGTGGGAATGTGGGGGCAGATGTCACTGAGCAAATGGATTTGTGTGGATGTTACCATTCCCCAGGCTGTTGGCTGATGGTACTGAAGTGCCCTTGCTGATCGGTTTGAAATTGCTGCGTGATTTTGAACAGTTTGTTTAGGAATAACTGAAAGCTGATTATATGGTATTGCTGAAATGTGTTACTGAAGCAGTTTGATGTTTTGTGAATTCTAATTTGCAGATCTCCCATCTCTGTATTTCTAGTGCTAAATGCACTAGAAGTACATGTTGCATCTATGTGTTGGAGGCTGCACTGTAAACAGATTTTCACCTGTATGTTGGTGACTTTTTAAAAGCTCTAAGTTGCAATGTTTTGATTCTGCTGCTCTCAATCTGCTCTTTTATCCTATTTTTTCAGATGGCTGGTAGATTTCTAGTGAAAACTTCCTGCAACTTCAGAGAAAAGAAGCCATATAGTAGTGTTACGTGTTTTGTATAGATGCCATTTAGCGTGCATGTATGATTTTTGATGGTGAGATGTGTCTGCCAGCAGTCAACTGGAACTGCATCCATTCTCTGCAGGCTCTTATATCTCTGTTGTTGGAAGTCATATATAGAACTGACAGCACCTGTAATTTTATAGTTCACCATAATTTTCAGGGCTCCATCACGGAGATGATGCTGAGCTTTCTGCTGTGCATTGAAGCCATATTCAATCAAACTGTCAATATTAGATGAGGGAGGTTAATTTACTATTGTCTGTGCAATCTTTATTTCTATTAACACCATGGTGTCTTTCTTCCTAATGCTGTATTATCTGGCTTCTAGTAAAGCTTACCATGTGCCTGTATCTTTCATTGATTTATTAAAGTGGTTTCTTTCCACTTTGGGAAGAACCAAATATACTAATTAATATGCGAGGTGGGTTTTGTTTATAGGAAATTATTTATTCTGATGTGTTCAGCTGAAGCTGTCCATGAAGAGCTGCTTGCATTGCCAAAGTAATAAACTTAGTTTTGCCTCTAAAAAAGTACAGCTTATTTTAGCTCCCCTTACTGTGTTATCCTTTGTAATTAGGAACTGTATTTCTGCTGTACTAACTGCTGATTAATGCTCTGCTATGTCAGCTTCCCGACTTCCACATTCAGCTCAACCCTGCTTCCTGGGGGTTCAATCCCGAATTCTTGCTTCACTCTGCCAAAAGCAGTCAGGACAAATCTGAACATGGAAGTGAGGGCAGTGCAGACACACTCATCATCAGCTTCCCCCCCACCCCCAGCTTCAGGTGTTGTGTTCTTTTTGCTTCACCTTAGGCTTTGATGCCAGTTGTCCTCAGCAGAGACAGAACACTAATGTCTTAATCCTCGAAACTGGTGATTGTAAACACTGTGATGCTCCATCTCCTCTTTTAGGTTATATAGAGTGACCTGAAATGAATTTTTTTAAAAAATGAAAGTTACTAGCAGTAACTGTTCCTTTTTATGTAACCCTTTTTACATGTTGCAAGAAAGCACTAATAATTACAAATGAAAACTTGTTCTGCTTTTATTAAGTTGGCTGTTTAATGGATTTGCTGCTCAGAAAAAGTTTTAAATTAATTTAAAATTTTGCTCATTCTTCTGTTGAGATTTTAAACTGTATTATGCTTTTCCTATACAGGACTGTGAGGGAAACACCTAACAGTCTATTTTAGGTTTTGAAATCTATGTTGCGTGATTGCACTTTGTGTCCTAGTGGAAAGTGGATCTGGAACTTTACAAACTGAAATTGTTGCGAGTTGCTGCTGTTCCATACTTGAAATGGCATCATTTACATATAGTTCAAGATCTTTGGATTTACTAATACTTGTGCTGATAGAATTATGTTTGATTTTTGTTTTCATTTACTGTACATTACTAAACAAATTAGTAAATTACCTGAGACTGTACAGACTGTACAGTTGAAGTTAATACACAATTTAAGAAAACTAAGACTTTTATTGGAGATTAACAGTATAAAATGTTCAGTAAATCTGATTCCAATGTATTGTTCTTTGAGACAGGCCCTTTCCTACAAGTGGCTCAGGCAGTTTGTAAGACAAGTGCTGCAGGTAAAAGCCATCTCCAAAATCCACTAGTCTTTAATATGCAATAGACTACAGGTGTGCTGCCTGTTGTATGGGAAATCTTATGAGGTATTTTCAGTACTTTTTGTGGTAGCTCAGAAAGGTCCTGTGCTTGGCAGTGTGGTTTTGTACAGACAGCCAAGAGTTGTCCAAACCAAAAAAGCTTGACAATATGATTCCCTGAAACTGTGTTGTTAAACACGTAGGGAAGAGTCCTACCATAGTGCATTCAGCATGATGAGATTTGTAGAACTCCTTCTGTAAATGATGTCACCATTCTGTGTAGTGGTCACATGTTATTTTTTTCTGCTTTCTTGTTTTTCTGCTCTTTCTGGACCATTTATGCTGCTACACAACTAGAAAGTTACATAATTTGGCCCTTCCCCAAGGCTACCTGTTCCACTTCAATTGTTTTATAAAGCAAAAAATTTCTCCTTCGTAGTGGTGTTGAACTGAAGTTCATTCCTCTCCATTCCCTGTACAGCTGCTGAAATCACTGCTGTACAGGTACTGCTGCTTCTAGCCTGGCTTTTTTGCTCTAAGCCTAAGTTGATTATGTTCCAAACACATTTTTATTAGAGATGCAATGCAGTACAAGATTATTCTATGTCTTGTTTACACTTCTGTAAAAGGATGCAAACTGTGGCTTAATTCTGAATTAGAGTTGCAAGCTTTAAGGTAAGTCAAGGAATTCTGTTTGCTGTCTGGAATACATTGTAAATTCCTTGGGGCAGGAGCTTTGTTTCTGTCTGCCTGATGTGTCTTACGTGCTCATAGTTCTGTTCAAACAGAATATCTGTGCAGAGGGAAGGCTGTTTCTTTTAGTCAGTTCAGGAGAATTAGATAAATATCAGCAAATTCTAGCCCTTGCATGTACATCTGCATTGTGAGGCAGAGAATTAGCCAATGTGCATAATCCAAGCAGGCATTTGTACTCCACGGATTATTTAATCTATAGTACACGGTGTGGGTTTGGCAGCTGGGTCATCCAGCCAGAGCATGCAGCTGATCCCCTCAGTATCATGGCATGTGAGCTCATGAAGTACTTACATATGAAATCTGTTTGGGCTACTTGCAGAGGTAAGGATGTAGTTGACCATATGTGGGGAATCAAGGCATTTATTAGCATACAACCTAAGTGAATTAAAATAGACTTTGAAAGTGGTGATATAGAAAGAAAAAATTATTTATAAGCTGGGGTTTCAAGTTGGACTGGTTTTGATCCCCAACTGCCAGTTGGCTGTGGTGAAAAAAAACTCTGTACATTAACTAATTGTTGCTGTTGCCCTAAAGCTGCAGCATAACGGCACTGTGTGTTAAGGTACACCACCCAGCTGGAAAAACCTTCACACATGTGGAATTTTGCATCTCACTGTTGCTACTCTTGATAGAGGTTTCTGTCATCACCCTGAAGATTGTGGGATTGAGTCTTTGACTGCTATGAATATGCTTGAACTGATCAGCTTCCTAAGTAATGCGAAGTCTGCCCATAGCTAAACTGGAAGTCTTGCAAAAAGTCAAGGCTCTTTTTTTTTAGTCCTATAAAATGACAAAAGTACACTCTCAGGTCATACTATCTATCTTTGGAATATGTGGAAGAAGATTAAACTTCTGAAAGTCACTTTGATGTTTCCAAGAATTTTAGCTTTTTGGCTTGAAAAGTATTTCTCTTGCTTGTGCCACACTTCTATCTCTGAATTTGTAAAGCCAAACAGTCCCAGTAACTAAGTAACAGCACAGCTGAATGTTTTCATAAAAACAACGTTGCTGCTTAGAGATGTGATTTACTACTTAAGTGTCTGTCTGTACATATATACAGAGGCAAAAAGTGATGATGACCTCATCTTATACAAGCTCACAAAAGCAGTCTTAGTTTTATAGTCTCCCAGCCAAAGACAATGTATTGTAAGCAGACAGAACTCCATTGACTTCAGTTGCAGCATCATCATTAATGTCAGTACTCACTTAATTGCTGACATAATCCTGTTTGTAATGATCAGTGCTTGAAATGTAAATCTAAAAGAAAAAAATGGATTATCTTGCATCTTTCCTGATATCTTAACAGAGAGGAAAGAAGGAGAAACTAGTTAATAGTCAGGATTTTACAAGTAAATATTATTTTTTTTTAAATTTTGATATTGCCTTGTTAGCAGGCTGTTCTTAAATGGATTTAACGGCATTCAGACCATGCCCTTTACTTAAATCAGTTGCAAGTGATGATATATTGCAATTACTACACATACAAAACAGACCTGCATATTTTCTAACCTGTTAAAAAAATAGCATCTTCCAGTACTTCTCTCTGGCAAAAGTTTCTAGAATTTATGAGTCATGTTCCTCTGTTCTGTTCAAACAAGATTCCAGGTCACAAGCATAATAATCTGATAAATTCTAGTAATTTTTAGATGCTGCATGGAGCTCTCATTTCGCCTCATACATTTCATGTATTCATAATATTTAAAATCTACAAATCTTACACTTGCATGCTCATACTGAAACAGTTATTAGTCTTTACCAGAAGGAAAAAATTCTATTTGTGTAATATTTATTGATGTTAAACCCACATTATATCAGCACAACAATCCAAAGTAATGATTATACATTTTTTTATAAATACAAATAAAAGGTGGCAAAATAATGCTAGTGAAGCTAAACAAAAAAGTAAATTAGCATGTCACAGTTGAGGAAAATTTGGCAAAAGATATGACATACTTCTAGAATAGAATCAAATTATTCTCAGCTGACAAACTATGACGTTAATCTAGATTAACGATCCCCATTACTGGTCATATCCTGCACCAAAATAGTACTACCTTGTGTTTATTAGTCACTAAAAAACAAAACAAACTTTGTGTGCTTACAAAGCAATACACGTATAGCAGTAATGCAATATATGGTGTACACAATTACAAAATTAAAAAAAAAAACAAACCAAAAAAAACAAACCAAACAAATCCCTAAGGACTTCTGAATAAATGAACTGAGATAGAAGATTTCAATACTTTTATTATAAATAATGAAAGATACCATATATGTGCTTCATATAAGGAATACAGTGTTTTCCTTTCCTAGCAAAGTATTGTAGCTCGTACCATCAAAACACTCATTTTTCTTGTCAGGCCTAGTAATTCTTCCATCCCTCCCTTTCCTTCAACTGAGATTCATTCTAATTTAAAACTACCTAGTCAGGTGTGACTTAAATGGGGCTCCACACTGATGTGGATTTGCCTTGCATTCTGAAAGTAGCCTTCAGGCTTTTCACCTATGGTGTACAGACTCTACCCCTTAAAAGAGCTGTCATTTGCCTGCAGTCAAGAGAAGGAAAAAATAAAATCTATCAGAGATACATGCTATGTTCAGAAGAAAAAACAAAAAGGAGCACATTTCATGTAGGTTTTGTCTGTCTTCATTTTCTACTTCCTCAGATCTGCAAGCCTATCACCTCTGATGTATACGTCACTTAAATTTGTATTGCAGTTTCAACCCATTTTTCACTTACTGTACATTTCTAAAATCCTCATACATAGTACACAAGATTTAAACAGTTGAACATCCCATACATACACTCCCTAGTTTTCAGCTCACCTTAGAATTCAGATTCTTGAATGGGAGTATTACGAGGTTACAGACTACCTTCAGGAAATCCACAGTTTCAACCTCTTGTCCAGTGCCCCTCCCACCCCTTGCAGTAACCCGCTGCAGTGGTTCCTACAGTCAGCATTTTTTTTCCCATCTAGTTACCAATATGTGTAATCTGAAGTAGACTGTTAGTACATGTCAGCTCTTCTTTGTTATTGTGCAGAAGTTAAATTACTTCTGCTTAGACTGCCTTTGCTGTACATTTGTAAGTAAGCCCCCTCCTAGACAGCAAAAAGGAAAAACACGAACAAATTGTAAGTTAGGATGTTGATGTCCATACTAACAGCATTGAAGGCAAGATATTTTTTTTCACTGTTGAATAGAAAGCAGTTTGCAGAGATACAGCATTTGCTTACATTTCTCTTCCTTGTCCCTTCCTGTTTTATTCTTGTAATATTGCACTTGTTCATTATAGCTGTCAGAACATGTTGCCATTTTAGAACTGTCGCTAATCAGACATTCTGATTTTCTTTGTGATGTAATGGCCTTGAAGAAAACATCTTTTACCATTAAGATTGTGGTAGCATCTACTTACTGCTTATGAAGCATGTAATGAAAAATAGTGTTCTCTTCTGAAAAATCTGTCTCTCTGATGTATTTTGGCATCTATGAAAAGGGTTATGAAGCAATGTTGGTTAAGGAACCGGTGAATGTGATTTGTTGTGCAATGTGTACATTCCTATTAATAATCTATCTATTCTTCTAATTTGGTATAATGAATAAGGAATATATGGTTATTGTGTTTGTTGTTTATCTTTTGTACTCGAAGGTGTCTGCCCTTGCATAAAGTGACATAGGAATATCATTGGTCATGGCAATGGCTTTCAGTGTTTCTGCTTTGAAAGAAAATGATGGAAGCGGCAGTTAAATCTACAGATCATCACTCTCTACGAGGCCAGGTTGCATTGTCAGGTGTACTGGATTTGCTTCCGGCTGGAAAGCTGCTTTGATGTCTAGTCCTTGGTCACAAAGTGCAGCGTATCGGCTGGCTGAGGGCCGCACCTTCTTTGGCTTGGTTGTCTGAGGTGGTTGTTGCCACTGAGCTGTAGATTAAAAGGAAAGACAAAATGTTAGCTCTCTTGAGCTGTGCATCAAAGCATGCCAGATGCTCAATTAACCCTTTGTAAAGGGTTACTAACTTTGTAAAGAAGTTACTAACTTCTGAGCAGCAGAAAACCATTATATCAAAGGTAAGTTTGTTTAATTTTTTGGCATTGTTTTTTTTTTTCCCAGCATCTAGTTTCACCTTCAAATGTGGTAAGCAAAAAACAACGGAGTCTGTGTTTGTTACTTTTTGGCATTGTTTTGTACCTTTCCTAGTGCCACTGAGAAGGGTGACAGCAAGGAGGTTGTTTCCGGGCACTCATATTACAGTAACAGGCTTGTTCTAAGGTTATTTGTTGTATTTAAAAGGAAATGATCTGGCTGCCCTTGCCAACCCTTGTATGCTGAAGAACACTGAGCCAAGTCTGTATTTCACCACCCCAGAAATCATCCTTTATCATTCCAGTGTCCCCCCTTCTGTCTTCCCTACCCCGCCTTAATTCTTGTTACGAGAAGACTGGTAAGAGATACTGCTTTAAGAAAACATTCACTATGTGAGGGAACAAACTGAGTAACTAAGCAGAAAGCTGCAAAAACATCTACTACACTTCTGGTAGCTGTCACAGGTGTATTACAGACTAATGTACAAAAGAATACAAAAGGTTAGGGAGGTGCTAGCAGAGCAGTAGTAATAATGATCCACAGAAATAATGTAATCATGCCGTTATCTGTTGTTAATTAGCTATATTTAATGTACTAAGCAAAACCAGAAAGCATGCACTTGTTTTAGGTATCTGAAAGATGGTGAAATGTACTTTGACAGAGCATTTGTTGTCTTGAAGTGGATGTTTACTATTGAGGAGAAACTATAAACAGAAGAAAGAGAGACCAATGTAAACCATTCTGTGAACAAACTAAAACTTATAGAACTGTTGCTTTTCGGGGGATTTATATGATCATGAAAATTGAAGTCACTTACTATAAACATCCAGCCTGGCAGTGCAAGACACAATCCCAGCCTCATTCTTAGCTGAAACAGTGTACCAGCCAGCATCCTCCTTTGTAGCTCCCTGAATAAGCAGGCAAATGTAGCCGTAGTTATCTTGGTGCATGCTAATCAAAAGAAAAGTAGAAAATTACTATTTAAATTGCCAGACAGTGTAGACTATTTTAAAATGTCATTATAAACTGATCCAATCTTAGTTACAGATTAATTATAGTCCACTTTTAATTAGTATGGAAATTAGCAAGTAGAAAATAAAACCTTGAGTATGCTTAACAATTTGGCAGTTTAATATTCTGAATTGAAAACTGAGAAGAAAAAAATGCATGAAGTAACTTCTCTTTTACAATTACAGATTAAGACATCTGGAGTAGCAGGGACACCAGATCTTACCCGAATTTTTTGAGGAAATAATAAAGGAACTTGAGGAACATCTTAGAATTTAAAATACTGAATCTTAGTTTCTTAACTATACAGCAGAGTTATGAATCAAAGTTTCTGCTGAAAAGCAGATAGCATTCCTTAAGAGTCTTGATTTTTCACTAGCAAATTTCTGTAAGTCTTGGTTCTGGAAGAGAAAAACTAGCTCGCCACTTGCTTGAAGTGCAAAGGTAGTTGTATAAGTCTAATGATGGAAAACAAGTAACATTTTACTTCTGGCTCAGCTGCCACATTGGCTGCAATTTGAGTAAATGTTATAAATTATTACAATCACTAGTTAATATTTATGAGATACTGTTCATACGAAGCATTCTTCTGACCTTTTCAGTTTTTATTTGTGTTACAGGATATATCATCATTGAAATTACACAGGGGGAGATTATTCTAAGACAGTCTAACCTCACTCGGTCAGTGTTGTATGTGAGTGACTCGTTCTCTTTCTTCCAAAATATCTGAGGAGATGGCTCCCCCGAGATTCGACACTCCAGTCGCACCGGGAATCCCTCAGTCACACCTGTGTTTTGTAGCTTTTCTATAAAAACAGGTGCTTTTTGTACTTCCTTAGCTGTGAAAATAAAGATTGCAGTTATGTTGACACTAGTCTGTGAAAACATAGCCCTTCTTTCAGCAGCATGCTAAAAACAATAATGAAAGACCTCAGTGGCAGGAAACATAAGTGTTGTCTTCATTAACCACAAAGTTCAGTTGAAGTTCCTCTGAAGAAAACAGTCACATCCATATTTTAGTAGGGGAAAAGTGCGTGCTAAAAGAGCTGATTCTTCCCCAGAAAAATTGAAATGTAGAGCATGAAGACTAGATAAACTGGCTGCACTATGCTTGGTAAAAAGTGCTCCTTGATATTCCATAAAAGTGTGGACTTCTAATTGTAGAAGGAACTGTTCTACCAGAAGTCTGGAGTGGCATTAGTCTGATATGTTGTGAAATGCACAGGTCATATCCTGCTGGCTGCTCAGCAGTAAGCGCACGTCTAGATTGTCATTAAGAAAAATATTCATGGAAATCATCTGGTTTGTGGCCTCAGCTGTGCCTCAGGCCAGCAGCCCTTCTTTCTTAACTATGTGCACAGATATTACATGCCAGTCAACTTATGCCACAACATAACAAATATCTCACCTACAAATATGCCATAGTTCTGTTACTGCCAGGTTTCCTTTTCTTACCCCCTACCAGTCAATCACATTCTTTGATGTCACTTATGTTTTCTTTATTGATGTTATCCTGGCAGTGCTCAGCCTGAAAGCTTAGCATGAAGATGTTACCTGCAACAATGAGCTCCAGGCTGAATGTATTTTCACCAGCTCGATTGCTGGCAATGCATGTGTAGATTCCAGCATCTCTGGATGTGACTGGTTCTATGATCAAGGAGTGCACACCATTCTCACGCACTAACATTTTGTGAGAACTATCAGGGCGAATTGGTCGTCCATTAAGTTGCCAGCTTAAGTCTGGAGTCGGTAATCCACTAACCTTGAGTATAAAGAAAATAATGGGAAATCGTTTTAGCCACATGAAACACTGGAGGAGACCTGACTTGTTACTTCAGAGAAGTTTGGTGGTGTTTGCTACCACAGGTGTACCAAAAGTTTTAGAGATCTAGTTCTGTCCTGATTTACACGTTGAGTCAATTGTATTCATTTACTTACTTTCTGGCCAACTCCCTGAATTCCATGATGTCTTATGGGCATGACTGAAAAAAGATCAGTGTTTAGATAGGCTAGAAGCTAAATAATAATACACTGCAAAACAAAAGGCAAGGTGACACCTTTTGTCTTTTTTTATTGTTTGCTCTTCAGGTGGAATGAGAAGATAGTCCTTTCTAGATTAACTTCTTGTTGGAAAACTTGCAGACAAAAAGATGTTAGCTGACTAATTACTGAACTCTTAAGTTCCATTCCACTTAGGTGTAACCTGGTGACAGCACTGCCTGCACTAGTTAATACTAGTCTGTGTCAACAAGTTTTGTACTTTTGAAAGCTGTGCCATTTGCTGTGGGGACTGCTCAAGAACAAATAGCTTCTCCAAAATAGGTCAGCATAAAGTAAACGGAAGTCACCCAAGCCTGCATTATTTCTGTCCAGCAAAGTCATTAATCAGGATTATATTGTTTGAAACTTTAACAGGGGTTCAAAACTCAAGGAGTAAAAGGACTTAAAATGGAGAGGCACACTGTCTTTGTAGTGTGTGGTGCTTCCCTCCACACCCCAGCATAGTTGAATTCTATAAATCAGTTTACTGTGTGCCAGAAGCACTGTCATTGGAGGGGAGGCAAACTTTTATTGCCCACTTAATCACTCAAAAGCAGGGAGATTAATTAACCTACTGACAGGCACTGAAATTGGCAATAGGCAAAAGAGCTTCAAAAAGAAACCAATGTGGTCTTTGAGTCAGCTAATGTTATCAGAAGGTTGCTGCTACCCTTTGTGTGACACTTGCCTTGCAGTCCATCCTGCATAGTTTTCCTTCTTGAACAGTCAGGTCTCCAGGAGCCTGCAGAAAATGAGGCCGGAAGAATCGTTCCTGAATTGGTTCATTTTCATCACCACTGTCCCTTGATCGAGATCGTGGTCTTAAAATAACATGAAACAAAGTTAAATTATTTCTTTCTTTGCTAAATCAGAAAAACCATAATCACTTATAAGACTGCTTTGAATTTTAAACTATTTCTTTGACCTATACCGTAATCACTCCGTATCTACACACATGCACTGGTAGCATTTGCTCCAGACTGAATAATGACACTGTACTTATTAATTACTTTCATTTAATTCACATGTTGTGGCAAAATATGACCTATAAAATAATCTTGCTACAGAATAATTTCTTGTAATATTAATTAATTTTATACATGAGAGTATTTTTGTTTACAATTAGCCTTTAAATCACTGACATACAAATAAAATAAGTTGGCAGGTCTTGGCATGTAGCTTCAGTTCCACATTTCTAATGTCCTGTGTATTTAGTCCCCTCACTGTTGCTGATTAGACCAGAAAGTAGATGTACTGTTCATTAATTGTGGTTCCCTTTCAGAAAATAACAGCAGATAAAAGCTAACTCATCGCAGTTGAGAAAAGACTTTTCACATCAGACTTCTCTTGTTCTGCACTAGTGAAGACTTTACAGAAAATTGTGTATTGAATTGCTGTGGATATTTATTCCTCATTTAACACTTTTTTTGAGATATTCGAACATTTTCAAAGCCACCAAATATTGGTATAAAAAAAATGAGGATTTCAGTTGTGAGCAATAGGAAGAAAAGCTTTGGTTGTTAATTTTTTTCCACGATATCATTTAATCCATTTTCAGCATTGGCTATTCTTGTCTGTTAATTTAATCTACCAAATCTTTTTCTAATTGGTTCCTCACTTAACTGCATTTTTTTTCCATTGAAATTAGCATTATTGCATTTTGTGTGATTTTGTAATCAAAGAAACTTGAAACAAAATTTTAGATCCCTTTTTGTCCTTGCTGATCAGCTCCATTGGGTTCCATTCTGGAGCCAGCTGCTGCTTACAGTAACATCCCGTGTCAGTGAAGAGGAACTATTCAAATGTCCTCCAAGATCACTCTTAGCAATGGTATATTACAGTAAAATTCTCTTTTCTGAATCCCATGTTCTGTTAATTTTTGCCAGTGTTTCTCTTTTGGCTGGTGTCTGCAGTGTGCATGCTTCAGTATAGGTGCCTATACTGCATATTCTACTGCCTAGGGGCATTTCTTTAGGTTAAAATAATTCACAGCAAAAAAACCTTAAAACCTTCAATGGTCACATTTGGATGTGACCTACTGTATTACTGTATAGAAGATAAACATTCCAGCTGCACACTGTGCTGCACTGAGGTTGTGGTTAATTATGGTTGCTTGAATTTGATTTATTTTGTTCTGCTCTGTTGTTGTGCTTTTCTCTGCTTTTGCTCTGTTTGAATTGTGGCCAGTCATCACCTTTGCTACAGTATTATTTGTCATTAATAGATAAATGTTGATTTCTTAGTCATTCCAGTTTTCCCACAGCTATAA